ATAGAAAGTAGCCATGATCGACTTCTTAACTTACACATAAGTCTCATAAAAAACATTCGTAGCTTCAGACCACAAACAAGCTCCATAACTTAGCATATTGTTCTCTAGATAAGTCTCACCAAAGATCAAAGCTTTTACTTAGTTGATAGATAAGCGTGGGAGAAAATAGTCGACAAGCAGAGGTCCTGGACTTATGACCTCCGACTCGTCAGGTGATGCTTGGAGAAACATAGCGTTCAAAGCCACTTTGACAAATGTATCCTTCTTGTTGTAGTGTATCTTCACAGTCGCAAAGGGCTGCTCTCCATCAGTTCGTTTCACTGTAACTACCATCACGTCTCTAAGTCCAACATAGCGAGTTCCCTCAGATGACGGACCAAGGTAAAATCCCTAACACAAAAAAACAAAAGAAGCAAAAATGAACAAGATTATATCAAATTCTTTGTAGTAAATCACTGATAATTTAACTTTTTTGAAGTAATAGCACTTTACCTCTTCGTCAACATGATCATCAAGCTCCGGACTGAACACATGTAATCTTGCTCCTATCGGTTGCTGCACGAAGAACTGCATTGCTTCATCCAAATTCTCAGGTTCAATTACTTCTCCTTTCATGGAAACACGACCAGGGATATAAGCAGATGGGGGCTTCAACAAAGATCCCAAATGTGGCCAATCTTCTCCTTCCAGTCACGATCCGTTTCTCCCTGTCCAGCTTCCTTCACGAGACAAGCATTGTCGACCAAATACTTAGCAGAGTACGCAGTAAACGCATTGTCGAGCTTGAGTATAACCCGCGCAGAACTTAACAGATTAACTGCTATCATAGCCGCAGCTGCAGATGCTTCTACAAGACAAAAGCAAATGGATTCCCATGTATGAGTCAAATTCATATTTCTTCTTGCAAGGGATTAGAACAGTTTTAACCAAAGCAAAGAAAGAACTTTCTCTGAGTGAAATGTTACCGTATTCTTGGTCATTCCCTTGCTGATTTCCTTCATTTCTTGCACGTTCGAGTTGGAAATACTGATCATAGGAGAGAGCCATCTTCAATTACTTATATCCCTGAATGAATATGAAAATTTACAATTTTCAATAACACATCTCGAATTCAAACACAAAAAGGGAAAGAAAAATTCAGAACCAAATTAATATGAACTATTTCTCAAAGCTCTTCCGGTCAGTCATTTTCCGCAGAGGCATTAACGAGATTTAAGGGAAAAACAAGAGAGTGTGGAGACATTTGCTTCCTAATTAAGCCAAACATACAACAAAATCGAGTAGAGGAAGACATTCAATTCAAACAGAGAAAGAAGATATAGCAAAATCAGAGAACGACC